TCTGGATGTCTCATTACATGACCGAAATATTGTAACTTTCGAATTTTTATCGTTTTTGCTATTTCTGTGCTCTTTTTCATTAGATGTTAAACTATTTCATTTCTTATTCGAACAACCAAACTTATCCGCAATACTCGTCGATAAATCCACATCTCAAAGGCCTTTAATTTTTTCATGAATGTCTCTGTAATAGTCCAGCTGTCCATATCATACAGCAATGTGAAGAATATGTAGCAGCGTATTAATCTGATTTTAAGGTTTAACGTAATATGTCTAACTGGTAAGCTGGTTTTGTATGTTTTCAATAAAATTGATAGTGTGTAAAATAGTTTAATAATTAAGCTAAGTATACTTTCGACATAATAAATGTCATCATCAGAGCTATCCTAAAATAACGTTAAGTTAAGTAAATTTTTTATATAAAATACAATGATAGAAAAAACTTACGTCAATTAGGCAATAAATACTTCATAGAAGGAAAATTGTGCACAAACGACATATTAAAAATTCAAAGATCGGGCTCTGTAGGCCACAGATCTTGGGTCTAACCCTTATACATATGTATAATTCACATTTAAAAAGTTTTTATAAAAACATGGTTACCACATACAGTAACGACAACAGCTGTCTTTGACTTACATTTTTGAAGTAAAATGAAAATGAAATAGGAAGCTCGGATATACGGAAATAAATCCTAGAGCGACCTCTGTATTTAAATTATTAATTAAAAATTGAAAATGTCTAAAATGACGTCTGAAGGTTATTGATTATTAATTTTAGCTACTGTAGAATTTTAAATTTAAATATTTTAAATTGATTAGTTAACGTGAAGATTTAAATATACATTTATCAAAATTATCAAAAAACAAAACTTTAAAGTTTGACCAAATAGAAGAAAGTAGATGAAAACCAACCAAGGAGAAGTATCATTTGCTAAGTTAAGAGTTCAACAGCTATTATTGATTATCGATATTATTAATAAAATAAATAATGAAGAAGAAAACATCAAACATTCTCTATGTAGATGAAATCAATGAAAGATAGTATAAGAAATTCTCTCTTTTAAAATCTCTTTTTTTTTTAAATTAAGGGACAAAGCTTGATCAAATGATGGTTAATTTTATACTAAGTGTATTATTAAAGAAACTTCTTAAAGATTGGATCAAACTTACAATTTAAGTTAATTTGAGTGTTGACACAATTCTGAGGATTCCTTTTCATTTCTCTACTGATTTCAAGATCTTCTAGTAAATTCATTTTTATATAATTATTATTGGGTATACTGTATAGGATCTTACTATCTCTATGAGGACTAAAGCCATGCTTTGAAACATGTATATGATTCCCAAAACTAGATTTATCAATCTTAGACAGATGTTCTTTGATGCGTATATCCAAAGGTCGCATTGTTCTACCTACATAGGTCACCGGGCATTCACCACAGGATAATTTATAAATACCACTTTTTGACGATTTGTTGATTTTGTCTTTAGTGTGGGAAAAAATGGATTTGATATTTTCTTTAACTTTGAAAGAAAGTTTTAGATTAGGAATGTTTTTTAAGATTCTGGCTATATTGTCTGAGGGATAACCTAAGTAAGATATTGATCGATAAATAACTGTCGAGTTAGAAATGTTATGGACAGTGTTGTATGCTAGTGATCTATTCCTTTTATTCCTTAATTTGTTGAGTATGTTATCAACCAAAGTAGGGGTGTAACCGTTACTATAAGCAAGTTGTTTAATAATTTCTAATTCTGATTTAAAATTTGAATCTGACAGAGGTAAGCTAAGTAAACGATGGATATAGCAATAAAAGGAGGCCATTTTCTGTTGAAAAGGATGATTAGAAGATCTAGGGATGGTATGGTCAGTCTGAGTTGGTTTTCTGAAGACTGAGAAATTTAATTTATTATCTATTTTAGTTAATGTTAAGTCTAGAAAATTAATAGAATTGTTGGATTCTGTTTCTAAGGTGAATTTTATAGCTGGATGTAAGTTGTTAAGTGAAACTAGGATATTGTCTGCATCTGAGGAATTTCCATCAATGATAGCTAACACATCATCCACATATCTGAACCAATATAAAACTTTTTGAAAAGGGTTTTGATTCAGAGAAAAATTGTCAAAGATATTAATCTCCAGGTTAAGTTTTTTCTATCATTGTATTTTATATAAAAAATTTACTTAACTTAACGTTATTTTAGGATAGCTCTGATGATGACATTTATTATGTCGAAAGTATACTTAGCTTAATTATTAAACTATTTTACACACTATCAATTTTATTGAAAACATACAAAACCAGCTTACCAGTTAGACCTATTTAGAAGTGTGTACAAGTCTTACAGTCTTTTTCAATTAACGTAATATCTCTATTAGAATTTTCTTTAATTTAAGGAAGGCGGCTCTGTTTTTTCAATGCGTATTCTTATTTCTTGATTTATAACCCGGTTATCGTTAACGTTTGCACCCAAGTAGGTAATATTGTGGACTCTTTCTAACTCTATTACATACGCTCTGATGTTCGTTGGTTGTAACTCGGTTTTTGCTTCTTCTTGATTACGTTCATATATTTTGTTTTATTTTCATTTATTTCCAGTTCTCCCAATTTGGCTTCGTTTTCTATTTTTTAGAAGGTTTTCTTAATGCCCTTTTATCTGTTGCTACTACTATTTTTCATTTCTATTCTTTCTCTTTCGGTGTCTATTGTTGCTTGGGAATCTTGCATGGTCATTTCTATTTTTCTTATAACTTTATTTGGTATATTTTTAAGTCTTGAACCATTTTTCTTCTGTTTAGTTTTTCAAACGCCTGTTCAAAGTCTAATAAAAGTATATGTGTTTCTCCGTCGTACTCGTATGTTTTCTCTATCACTTGTTTTAGCGTATGTATAATTTCTATCGTGGATCTTCCTTTTCTAAAACCGCACTAGTAATGTCCTATACTTTGTTCTGTATATATTGTTAGTGTGTCTCTAATTATACCAGTCATTACTTAATGTGTTACATTCAGTAAATTAATCGCTCGGTAGTTTTTGCATATTCTATGGTCTCCTTATTTTGGGATTGACACTATAATTCTCTTCTTTCATTCTTCGAGCATTATTTCTTTGCTCCATATATTTTGTAATAGTCCGTAAACTTTTCTGTATAGTGTCTTTTTACCGCATTTTATAAGTTCTGTACATATTTCATCTTCTCCCGCTGTTTTTAAGTTTGCATATTTTCTCTTTCACTTCTGTATATGTCAATTCTTCTTCTTCTTCTTCATTTTGTTCTGTGTTCGTTGTTGTTTCTCTTTCTTTTTCTTTCTTCTTTTTTTGATATATTTCTTCGAAATACTTTTGCTATTTTTCTGCTTCTATAGCTATATTAGCTGTCCGTTTACGGAATTATAGCGAAGCAGTAGAACACAGTAGAGCGCAGAGTTGTCAGTTGTCAGAAAGTTATTTCTTTCTATTGAATACTAACGTTATATTTTGTAACAGTTACGGATTATGTATTACTATAGTAAAATATTGTTATAAAACTGCAATGCTATAAATTAACCCAAATTAGATAATATAATACCAAGGATTATAAGAAAATTTAAATTAATAAATCTCTCATAAAACAAATTCAATTTTTATTTTTTTCTGTGCAACATAGAGGAGATAATAACCTAGAATTAAAGCATTTTACAGCATCTATTCATCTAATTATATACGAAATTCAGTCAGAAGTTTTGATAGCTGTAGAAAATTTTTTACAATGTCTACACTCCCTAATGAGTTCACATTATTGTTTTCGTATTGGCAATTCCGCATAATTTGCACACCACTAATATTTGTTGCATTATCATTTGCAGTAAAAAACAAGGTAATTGTCTAGCTGGATTGTATTGCATTGTTTGCATACAATATCAAATTTATCAAGTCGTTAGCAAGGTATGCACTATCACTATGTTAGATGTCAGTTATATTGTTTATATCTTACAAGTATGCTTATTTCATACATTACACAAACAAATCATTTTCCCTGATTATCGAATTTCATATTTCTTTCGCGATATTGATAATTAAATTTATATTTTTAAGTACCAAATAAAAAATTAGGAATAAAAATAGATTTGTAGCTTATAATGCAGGTATCTTTTTATTTTTTCCTTTAAGTGACTTTGTTTTTTAAATTATATGATTTATGATTATAAATTTTAATCCTTAGGCCTTAAAGGTATGTTGAGCCAAATAAATAATAATATGATATAAAAATGACACATGAAAACATGTGACATTAAATGACATGGAAAACGAATGAAAGATGACATGACACATGACATTATATTATGACATAATAGATACATTGACAGATTTTACGACAAACGACATGAATGATGACGACATGAAAGGTGTGATAAAACATGGCATATCAAAACCCCACAGAATAATAAACAATCAGAATACTTACTTAGCTTGAAAAAACAAGTACGCGCATCTCGTTCACGCAGACGGAATTCACAAAGCACAGGGAATCAGCCATGTTTTAGTCGGAACCAGTGCTGTTCTGTGGCATTTTATCTGGTGTGCCATAGAAAAATTAACCCAGTTTAATTTATTTACAGCAACTATAGACATAATATGCACTATTTTATTTGTAATTTTAGTTGAAGAATAGATTTAATTATTACAAATGTACTAAATAATTAACCTCTACAAATTTAAATTACAGTTCTGTCATAGCTTGTCACAAATTTCTCAATTCGAGTCATGTTTCCGACTAAAATATGGCGATCGCGTGGTGACAAACTTCAAAAAGACGGCATCTGAGAGTGGGTGTTCTGATTGTTATTGATTGTGTGTCGAAACTATATAAGGTATCTGAAAACTATAGATAATGAGGTATAGCGTTTAAATGTAATCCGCACATAAATATTTAGAAATTATAACAAACGATAATGTTCACATTATTTGTGGTCATGCAAACTCAGCTTTACTTCGTAATTTATTTAATGTTTTTTGCTTAAACACAACTCTCAGGTCCTGGAATTGAGTCAGCTATAATATGGTCTCGTCTCATAGTCGTAAAATTTGTGTACGATGGATCTCTGGGCCTTGGTCGGCTTCTACCCAAAGTATTGGTAGAGAGTTCTGATGGTTGAACGGGAGACTAAAAAAAATATTTATATTAGTAATACGCGTATTCAAGGAACCTTGGCTCTATTTTTACGGTAGATAAGCTTATACAATATGAAATATATATCGTCGCTGTGAAACCAAATCTCATAAGTGCAAAAAATCGAGTTTTTAGGTATTATTATAAAAAAATCCCTTTTTGTCTATTTATATGTCAAATCGCCAAAAAATTTGGTTAAAAAAGTCTGTAAAATGGCGTTGCTACACATGCAAATTATGCAATGCTACAACAGGGATGAATCAGAAGGAAAAAGATGGGTTACAGAGCAAGCTGTATGTTCAAATATTTACGGTTAAATAAAATCGGTTAAATGACAAAGCTGACAGTACAATTGACGTAATATTTTATAGTGACAACTGTTACGGACAGCAAAAAAAAAAAAAATTACTACAGGATGGCCATATCCGAATATGTAGTTACAACATTGGCAAACATAAAATAAATTACCCGTAAATATCTGATTAAACGTCACACTCAAAATGAGATAGATGCAACTAATTAAACCATAGAGAAACAGATTAAAAGAAGTCTTTGCAGTGGATCAAAAGACTTGCTATCCCAGTATGTAATGGCAATGAAAACTGCCAAAAAATTGACAAACCTTACCAAACGCATGAGTTAAGCCATACCGACTTCTTTACTATAAATGTATTGTTTCCAATGATTGTTCCTATCCAATTAGTAAATGTTGCGACAATTCTGGCATACTCCCCTCAATCTGTGTGGCTCAAAGAGTGCATGGGCATCAAGGTGTCACCGCGGGGGAACAAATAGCGGTCTAACATCCTTCTATTGCTTCCGGGTGCTCTGTAGAGGGCTTCGAAGACGTCAACGAATGCACCTCTACCCAAGTCCATTTTCAGGATATGAACTTGTAAAATTTTCTTCTGATGAGCTCGTCTTGAAAAAGACGAGCTATTTCTTACATGACATATGATGAAGTTGTCGAAATAGACATCAGGTTCTCAGCTTCGGTGACTTGCCTTGACAAAGGCAAGATATTTCTTACATGACTAAATAGTAGTCGAAATAAAACACCAAATATTATTGAAATAAAATCTCAGCCACAGAGTATGGAAAAAAACTAAAAGAAAGCAGAGCCCCGAGGGCACTAAGCTCTCGGAGAGCCCGTGAGGGACTGACCTGGTTGACCTGAAAATCGCCTATTTTTATACACGCTGAAGTAGTGATAATTAGGGATTTCCAGGTCAGGGACCAATAGGAAAAATGAGGGGTGGGGCGATGCATCTCGAGCGCGAACTAGTCGCGTCCGAGAACAAAGGTTATACCAAAATGTATTTGGACAAATTTTACAACGGCGAGAAGCCATAATTAAAAGCATATGAGTCAAACACTGAAAAGTGAGATTGTGTTTATTAGAATAAATGAAATTTACAGCTATTAATAAAAAGGAATAGGACCAAAGAGTGTTGTACAATGCATTAACACTGCTACCAACCAAGTAACATTATACGTCTGCTCATTACTCAAAATAAAATGTAATTATGAAATTTTAAATGTTAAATTGTGGAAGAATGGTGGGCGATACAGCATTTTTAATATAATTTTCAGACTCAGCATACTAAAAAACAAGAGAGATATAATTGTAACAAAAAAGTTTTTTCATCTTTGGCCTACGCTAGTATTCTAAAATACTAAACTGTTATTATGTGGTACAGGCGAGATTTAAACATATTCAAAATTTATCAGTACTATGTAAAACACTGTTGCAAATAAGATTACGAGATATCTATAGGCAAAATTTGTTTTACTGACAATCTTAATTTATCACTACTCTCACTTACCTGTTTATTTGCGATAGATATTGATGGAGTACAGTTAAGCTGATGTCGACTGTTTCCATCTAAACTAGTGTAGAGACGTTCTGGTCGAGGTAAAGTGCTTTGTGTTGATTCTGTACCTGAAGATTAAAAAACAGTTGAAATGGACAATGACTACAGTAGGTGATAACGTTATATTTTCTGTATGTGTTTCTGGCTTGATAAAAAAGTCGGTATAAACTTTTCTGTCTATCAAGTCTTCTATCTTTAAAATTAGTTATGGTTTCTACATAGTCCAGGCTGTGAGGCCGCTCCCGTTGGGAAAATGTTTCTGATTCGGTTTCTTCGCGGATTCCGGTTCAAAAAAGTTCCCTTTAAACAAATCTGAAGGGTGCCGGGCGAAATTTTTGGGCAGAAATTGTTTAAACAATTTTTTTAAACAAAGTCCAAAAATATTTTTTTTTTATCTGGAAAACATTTTTTTAGGTTTTTTGTGCCATTTTAAACAAAAAAAGTCTTCTGTCATTTTTCTCTAAAGTTGATAGTTTTCGAGTTATAAGCGATTTAAAGTCTGAAAAACGCGAAAATACGCATTTTTGAGGCTTGAAAACACATATGTAAATTATTATTTTTGAGATTACCAAGTGTCTAAATCAAAGTTTAAACATTCAACTTCAACATTGTGAAGAGTAATCGGGGCTTATTTTAATTTAGACAGTTGTTTTTTAATTGTTAAATATGCGCGTACACTCGATTTTTCAGCCGCCGCGGCGCCGCGCGCTACCGTGCGCCTCTATCGTACTTATGCATAGTTTACATATACTTACAAATAATTATTATTTATTGAGTATATATTTATTTATATCAATTGAGTTATAATATAAATTTCGTCTAAAGTCTAATAATAGTTACATAAAATAATTGTACAAAAGATTGTTAAATAACACACTAATATCACTCAGTAAAATTATCTTTGTTTTCACAAAAATCTAAATCCCATCCACATAATGGTACACATAATGGTACTCACATCCACATAATAGACAAGATTGTTCTTGCAGTTGCAAGCATTAGTTTTGCAAGTCTTTTTGCATTTGCACGGTTTCCCAACCCACCACTATCAGACATATAATATCCATATTGTGTAAAATCGAGAGTTTGATAGCGGGAATATATGGCATTTCGCCAAATATATGTTTTAGCGAAAGCTCTTAACAAGTGTTGGTAAAGTGCGTCAGAGGTACAAGGTATATTGGCTAGATTAAATTAAATTTTTCAGTCACACTGTCTTTTCGTCGAAGAGCAGCATTTTGTATTGTTATGTAAAAATCTACTTTAGGTTTTTGCACTAACTTAATATTGTTGATGTTATTACAAAAAATACAAACTAAATTTTCTTCGGTAAGTTTTCATTTAAGAAGAGGTACGGAAAAAGACATTTTAAATCCATTCACAATTTTTTTAATAACACATTAATAATATAATACCCTTTTAATGGGCATTAAACAATAGTCTTCCTAATGATCGTTTAAGTAATAACAAATCAAGTATGAGCGCGCGATTGTTAAACAGGTAAAACTTGCATTTTTGCGATAGTATATTGTTTTTAAACACCGCGCAATTTAAAATTAAGTTTACTAATATTAATATTTACTGCATTGTATTATTTAAATAATAATTTAAAAATATTATTTACAATTGATATAAATAAATATATACTCAATAAATTATAATTATATTGTTCAAATTTGGAAGAAAAAAAACTATATACGGTTATTACATTGCGATGATTGATTTATTTAATTAGCCCAATGACAATAATTAATACCTACATAAATAAATTATGGAAAAAACTATGGTAATAAACTTCAAGGATTTGTTCGGGTTTTTTTGCGTAAGTGTATATGTAAACTATACATAAGTACAATAGAAGCGCACTCTAGCGCGCCGCGCCGCGGCGGCTGAAAAATCGAGTGTACGCGCATATTTAACAATTAAAAAACAACGGTCTAAATTAAAATAAGCCCCGACTACTCTTCACAATCTTGAAGTTGAATGTTTAAACTTCAATTTAGACACTTGGTAACCTCAAAAATAATAATTTACATATGTGTTTTCAAGTCTCAAAAATGCGTATTTTCGCGTTTTTCAGACTTTAAATCGCTTATAACTCGAAAACTGTGAACTTTAGAGAAAAATGACAGGAGACCTTTTTTGTTTAAAATGACCCAAAAAACCTAAAAAAAATGTTTTTCAGATTAAAAAAAAATATTTTTGGAATTTGTTTAAAAAAAATTGTTTAAACAATTTCTGCCCAAAAATTTCGCCCGGCCCCTTCAGATTTGTTTGAAGGGGACATTTTTAAACCGGAATCTGCGAAGAAACCGAATCAGAAACATTTTCCCAACGGGAGCGGCCTCACAGCCTGGACTAACAGGTTATATCGAATCTGTGGTGTTAACAGTTTTCCAGTAAGCTGTTTTTAAAATTTTATTATTACACATTTTTTAAAGGAAAAACCTCAGGGTTTGATAGCATGTATCTTAAATTTCTTCTTATTGGTTATTAATACTTAAAAAATTCGCTATTTTTATGAACATAATATGTTAGCATTTTCCCAGTGAAATAATGTTTAACTGCATAGCACAATCATCATTAATTAAGCGATTAAATCCACTCCGTTTCAGAGACTTTTAATACTAAGGGAAATTTTACTGCCCATCTCTGTCGACTTGACACGCTGAAAATGATTATGGAAAGAAGCCATTATCTTAAATATGCCCACAAAAATCGACATCATTCTAGAATATTATAAGGAAAAATGACAGAAACGTCTACCAAATCCAAAATCAATGTTCGAAGTTGATTTAAAAATGATCTGAAGCATGATACTGACTATAAGATAAGATATTGCGCATGTTTTTGTGACGTCATTGGAGACTTGCACGATCGAAATGTCAGTTTTTGTATATATCAATAAATAATCTTTAATAAATAGTTTGGAGATATCCTTATGTGTACGATTATTGTAATTATTAAACCTCTTAACTTATTTTCGTCTAGTAATTTCATCACAGAATGCATACAAATCTCATTTAACTTTAACAAGAATTCAAATTCTAGTTTCCAATGACGGCATGCGCGAACCCGACCGATTTTGAGCTACGGGAAGATCCTATCTTGTTATTCATAGTATCATGATCTGAAGCATGATACTATGATAAGAAGATAAGATATTGCGCATGTTTTTGTGACGTCATTGGAGACTTGCACGTTCGAAATGTCAGTTTTTTGTATGTGTCAATAAATAATCTTTAATAAATAGTTTTTAGATATCCTTATGTGTACAATTATTGTAATTATTGAACTTCTTAACTTATTTTCGTCTAGTAATTTCATCACAGAATGCATACAAATCCCATTTAACTTTAACAATAATTCAAATTCTACTCTCCAATGATGGCATGCGCGAACACGACCGATTTTGGGCTACAGGAAGATCCTATCTTGTTATTTATAGTATCATGATCAGAAGCACAAGTTAATAAGAAAAGATGGCTTCAGCTTATTATGTCAAATCCGGATAATTTTTATTTTTATGCAGTACCGGAAGTTCATAAAACGAATATACCACTTTGACCTACTTGTAGTACCATGCATTTTTCTTGTAGTGAACTGTAAATTTTTTTATTAAATATTATTGGCGATGTCAACGAACTATAGGAGGCGCTTTGACAGATGATCAGCTGATCACGCACTTAGGAAAACAAAACAGAGCTACCATAATCTTTGTAGGTGAATGATTGTTGTGTCTAAAAATTATCCGTATTTATTATCTTTCATTAATTTTTTTGTTAACGCAATGGCAAATAAAGAAATTAAACTTAGTCTGCCCCATATTTTGAAATATATAGGAGACACAAAAAGACCTTTAAAAGAAGGTGAGGCCTTGTTAAAGGATGGCCACGTTGTGTTGTGTGGCAAACATAATAACAAATTAGTCGATTTGTGTCTGCAAACGACTAATTTAAATGGTGCCCCACATGAAATCACTGTGGATGTGTTAAAAGACGAGTGGGTGGCAAAATGCACTTGTAAAGCCCACCAGGGAGGAATGTGCGTGTGTTTTATTACGCATTAGTCTAGCATTCACCAGTTCCTCATTGATTTTTCTTTCATGTTTTCCTTTAAGAAGGCATTTAGAGGGAACAACATCTTTCTTTGAAAGTTTCTTTTTCCCTGCTACAGCTGTAATAGAAATTTTAATTAAGATCTATGTTATTGTACAAATTTGGTTAAGTTAGGTAGGCAAATTATATTATAGTAAATGTTGCAATTCTGTTCAGCAAATTTACTTGAAAAAAAATCTGTTGATAAAAAATGTTGTAAACACACCATATTAACAATTGATATCGATTTCCCAAATTTTAATTCATGTGCCCAACGATCTGATAGATTTTTGTCACGAGGAAAAAAGTGCATACTTATTCCTTCCGATCGATAATTACTGCACTGCGGTGCAGAACAATGCTGTTTACATTTACTTTCTATTAACATTTTGTTACCTAATATTTAAAATGTTTATAACTATGTTATATATGTATAACTAAATACAAAATGTTTTGTTATCCTACGTGCACTAATTCAAAATTTTACCGCACCGTGCCGTGCCGCCTCTTTCGTTTGACATTGCCAATACAACCATGTAAAATAAAAATGACACATTTATAAAAAATACACAACATTATTTAAATAAATTATCGAATATTGAATTTAATTCAAATAATATTTTAGAGAGTTTTCACACAAATAGTTTATTTACAAATGTGCCATTAGAAAAGACTGAATATAATCAAGACAAATTTAGAGAAGCATGATATACACTGGCAGCTACAAAAAACTAAATTATCATATGGAATTAATAATATTATGTAGATAATTCCTATTTTTAACTAAATAATAAATTTTATAAACAAAATTTTGATCTAGCAATGGGCTCTAGTTTATCTCCATTATTAGCCGATATATTTATGGAAGATTTTTAAACAAATATTATTTCTAAATAAAATTTAAAACTCAAAGTATAATGGAGATATGTAGATGATGCATTCTCAATATGACCTCATGAATTAGAGTTGTT